GCCGCTTCACTTGCCAGGTCACCCATGAGGGGAAAACCACGGAGAAGAGCGTGGCCCCTGCACACTGTCCTTAGGGACCAACTCTCATCCACCTATGGGGTCTGGAAGCTGCAGGACCCCAGGAAAGGGCTTCTCCTTCTACCCCTTCCCTGATATCCTGGCCCTCCCCACCCCTGCATCCAATAAACTCTCAATAAACATCTTCATTGTCAATCAGACATCCTGCTTGGTCTCATTTTTTTAGTCTCTTATTTAATCTGCAACCTCCCTGGAGTTCTCTGGTTGGGGGAGGTTCCCACACCCAGTGAGGAGGCAGCCCAAGGGGCGAGACTCGGGGTCTTCTGAGGACGTCACACAGGAAACACCCCAGGAAGAAGTTTGGTCACTGACATCAGGGCCTCTGACCTCTCCTTTCTCCCCTTCCTCCTCCCAGGAGAGGGCCCCCCACTCCTTGCCTCTCTTTTGGGTGGAGACGTCCTTGACTGACCTCTGCATCCTCCTACCCCATGCCTTCTTTCCTCAGCCTGAACCTCCTCTGCCCCTGGCCCCTGCCCCCTGGAAAGTACCCACCTCCTCTTCCCTGCTCAGCTCCTGCCTGCCTGCCTCCATTCCCATCACCCCTGGTGATCTGGACAGCTCACAGGGCACACAATGCTTCAGAGCTACTGGATTCATGGGCTTTGAAATTCAGTGGCTGCCTTCTCACTCCATGGCAGCTTCAGAGGCAAAGGGGAACAGAGAAACCCAGGAAAGAAACTGTCTCACAAAGGGACTGCCAGGAGGCAGGCACCTGAGGGGTCTGGCCAGGCAACAGGAACTCCACAGGAGACTCAGCCACCAGCTAGGGAAGGAGCTGGAGGAACCTTCAGAGAACTGGGTCAGGATCTCCCCCACAGCCAACCTGAGACTGATGGGGAAGAGAAACCCGAGAGACCCCCCAGGCTCAAGAACGTGTCACGTGGTCCCAGTGGCACATCAGAGCCTCTGTGGGATCAGGCTGAGCGGGACCCACGGCCATGCTTGAGCCTTTCCTGCCATAACCACTCTCAACCGCCACAGCTTCCTCCTGAGAGCACTGCTGATACTGCAAAGATCTGTTGTGGAAAATTTCCTACTGGGGCCCTCAGAAAGCCCTGGGCTTTTCCAGAAACTTCTGGGGGATATGGGCTGAGATATCATGTAGTCAGGCTGGCAGACAACCCAGAAGTGGGAGCAGGAGGTACCACATGTTTCTCTTAGAAAAAAAGTATTTATTGGAGGGATACAGAGACACAGCTAGACAGAACTCCCATCTCTTGGTTTCTCTCCTCAATGTCCACAGTGACAGGGACTGGACTGATGCTGAGACCTGGGAGCAGGTCTCCCATGTGGGAGGCAGCAATTACTCAGCCATCACCACTGCCTCCTAGGGTCTGCATCAGCAGGAAGCTGGGGTCAGCAGCTGGAGCTGGGAATGGAACCCAGGTATTCCAATGTGGACACCAGGCTACATGGCCCCTCCCTACAACACACCTGTGCTGAGCACCTTCTGCTTCCAGGAACTGTCTAGAGTGTCAGGACTTCTTTTATGCATGCAGCGTGAAGGAGTGAGCATCTTCCATGAGGACTGCAGGTTGGAAAAGCATTAGTACATTTTTGTGTGTATAGTCATATACAAATGGCAATAACCATAGAAATCTTATCTTGTATGCTTATAATTACTTATTGAAAATGACAAATTTGCCAGTGCCACAGCTCACTAGGCTAATCCTCCACCTGCAGCGACAGCACCCCAGGTTCTAGTCCCGGTTGGGGCACCGGTTTCTGTCCCTGTTGCTCCTCTTCCAGTCCAGCTCTCTGTGTGACCCAGGAGTGCAGTGGAAGATGGCCCAAGTCCTTGGGCCCTGCACCCTCAAGGGAGACCAGGAGGAAGCACCTGGCTCCTGGCTTCAGATTTGCAAAACGCCAGCAGCAGTGTGCCGGCCATAGGGGCCACATGGGGGGTGAACCAAAGGAAAAAGGAAGACCTTTCTCTCTGTCTCTATCTCTCTATCTCTCTCTCTCATTGTCTAACTCTGCCTGTCCAAAAAAAAAAAGAAAATGAAAAATTTAATGAGACATTTATTAATTTCTTAATTCTTAAATAATTTGAAATTTCTGTCTTGGAAATCACCTGAACATACAGTTTGATATTTGAATGTAGTACTCCTGCAATTATCGACTATCATCATTCTCTGTCCAGGAACAGTCTGACTTTTTTTTATTTTTGTGGGACAAAAAGGTAACACGACATCCACTATCTAGACAACATAGTCAATGAAAATATAAGCTCAGGAGCAGATATTTAGGATTCTCATTTCCTGTCTATCTGAAACTATTTCTGGTGAACACCAAACCTCCATGTCTATCCCCAGCTCAGAGCAAGACCCCTCTTCTGTTTCTATGAGATTGGCAGCTGGAACACCACCTGTGTGTCTAAGTAGAATCACAGAGGACTGGCCCTCCTTTGACTGCCTTATTTCACTGAGAACAACCCAGCATCCTGATTCTGGACGAATCGCAAGAAGAATTGAAACTGGGATGGAAACATCTATATGCTGCCATGTTTTCTGCAGCACTATCCCTACCAACTGAGACATGGAAACAAGTTCGGCATCCACTGACGGATGAAGGAATAAACAAATGGTGGTGCATGGACACAGTGGATCATCCTCCTCCTTTCAGAGGAGGAAATCTTGTCCTGCAGGAAATGTAAATATGTATGAAAGTAGCTGGAACACTTGGATGGGACAAGATGGAGAACTCCATATAACCTATCACTCACACAGATGAAAGTGAAATCTGAGCAGAGGGCACATTCTTCAGCACTCTTAGAAGGCCACAATGAGAGGCAGATTGGATTAAGTGCAAACCTCAACAACAGCCTGATGGGGGTCAAGGTGGGTTTCTCACTTCACTTTCTCTCAGCCTCCTCCAATGCAGGTGAAGTCTGGGTACCACTAAATGGAAAACCAAGGGTGAATCCCTGTCTCTCTCCAGAAATGTGAGAAGGAAAATTTGGGGTATCAAGGAGAGGGTTATACCAATTTGCTTTGTTCATCTCACTTCACTGACAAAGCTGTCCTAATGTCTCTGCAGTGGTTAAGGGATAACCTTGAAAATTACTATATTTTGATTCTCAGGGCGGAGCCAAGATGGTGGAATAGTGAGGGCACACACCGATAGTCTGGGAAAATTTAGTTTAATAAAAGCGGAGTTACGGTAGCCTCAGAAAAAGGATCAGGAAAAAAATTGCAGAGGAAACTCTTCTGGAGCTATTTGCTGTGACTCAAAGGACCTACTGGGAGAGCAAGGTCACCCACCACATGGAAGCCGAACCGCGGGAGCCGCAGAGTCTGAGCACCAGTGCAGGAAGGGGAGTCTGTGTGACAAAGACACCAGCAGGGAGAGGAGGGACGCCCAGGGCTCCGAGTCCACACATCGGCACTGGAAGGGCAAGTGAGCTCAGTAACTGGAGACATTGGCGGGGAAACGGCAGACAGAATTTTTGAGGGACGCGGGTTTTGAAGCGGGAAAGTCCAACAGACTGACGACAGGAGAGAAGGAAAAATAAATAAATAAATAAATAAATAAATAGTTGGAGGCATACTGGTACAGACAAGTTCCACTCTACGCCAACCTTGCAAAGGCAAGCAAGAGACAAAGGGCAGGGATATACATAATAAAAGGGGAGAGTTAAGGCTACAATTCAGTAGCCTACGCAACCCAGTGGGAGTACGCAGGAGAAACTGAGCCTGCACAGACTCTTTGGGTAGAAGCCAGCGGAAGCTAAATACCATCCATTCTGCTCAGTCGTGCAGTATTACTTACCTCCTGAACAAAAAATAAAATAAAATAAAATAAATGAATAAATAAAGAGAGATTTACCACACATAACCTGAGGGTGTCACATTTGCACACCTGTAACCCTGAAGAACCAAGCAGAGCTCTCAGGCCACACCCATCTCAAGCCTCCAAGGCTCCTCCAACAGCAGGCAGTCCACTTAACACAGACATAGTATAAAATTAAAAAAAAACGCACAGTGACGAAAGAAGAATTAACTATGCCAAGTAACAAACACAGAAATCGAGGGAACAAGATCAACGATGACAATATGATGCCTCCAAATAAACAAAACACCCCAAACCAAGATTATGAAGATGATGAGATAGAAGAAATGCAAGATACGGATTTCAAAAAATTTATGATAAGAACAATTAGAACTTTTCAAAAGCAAATCCTTGAACTACAGAAATCCTTATTGGACAGGATTGAAAATCTCTCTCGTGAAAACGAAATTTTAAGGAAGAATCAAAATGAAACACAGAAACTAGTAGAACAGGAAAGTGTGATACTGAAGAGAAATCAAAATGAAATGAAGAGCTCAATAGATCAAATGACAAACACATTGGAAAGCCTTAAAAACAGAATGGGTGAAGCAGAAGAGAGAATATCGGACTTAGAAGACAGAGAACAGGAAAGGATACAGTCAAACCAAAGAAAAGAAGAGGAAATTAGAAATCTATAAAATATTGTTGGAAATCTACAGGATACTATTAAAAAAAACCAACATTCGGGTTCTAGGAGTTCCTGAAGGCATGGAGAGAGAGAAAGGATTAGAAGGCCTTTTTAGTGAGATACTAGCAGAGAACTTTCCGGGATTGGAGAAGGACAGAGACATCCTAGTACAGGAAGCTCATAGAACCCCCAGTAAACATGACCAAAAGGGATCCTCACCACAACACGTTGTAATTAAACTCACCACAGTGAAACATAAAGCAAAGATCCTAAAATGTGCAAGAGAGAAATGTCAGATTACTCTCAGAGGATCTCCAATCAGACTCACAGCAGACTTCTCATCAGAAACACTACAGGCTAGGAGGGAATGAGACATAGCACAGGTGCTAAGAGAGAAAAATTTCCAGCCCAGAATATTATATCCTGCTAAGCTCTCATTTGTGAATGAAGGTGAAATAAAGACCTTTCATAGCAAACAGAAATTGAAAGACTTGTGGCCACTCGTCCGGCCCTGCAAAAGATACTTAAAGATGTGCTACACTCAGAAACACAGAAACACGGCCATCAATATGAAAGAAGGGAAAGGAAGAACACCTACCAGTAAAAGAGCATGGGAAGCTCAAAGCATATACTAGAAAATATCTCCAGGAAAATGGCAGGGCAAAGTCAAACGTGAATGGCCTGAACTGTCCAGTTAAAAGACACAGACTGGCTGACTGGCTTAAAGAACAACACCCAACTATTTGTTGCCTACAAGAAACACATCTCTCTAACAAAGATGCAGGCAGACTGAAAGTGAAAGGTTGGAAAAAGATATTCCATGCCAACAGAAACCAAAAAAAAGCAGGTGTAGCCATATTAATATCAGACAAAATAAACTTTAATACAAAAACTGTTAAGAGAGACAAAGAGGGGCACTATATAATGATTAAGGGTTCAATTCAACAGGAAGATGTAACTATTATAAATGTATATGCACCTAATTACAGGGCACCGGTCTATTTAAAAGATATGTTAAGGGACTTAAAGGGAGACTTAGATTCCAATACAATAGTACTGGGGGACTTGAATACTCCACTCTCAGAAATAGATAGATCATCCAGACAGAAGATCAACAAGGAAACAGCAGATTTAATCGACACTATTGCGCAAATGGATCTAACAGATATCTACAGAACTTTCAATCCTGCATCTAAAGACTTTACATTCTTCTCAACAGCGCATGGAACCTTCTCTAGGATTGATCACATACTAGGCCATAAAGCAAGTCTCAGCAAATTTAAAAGAATTAGAATCATACCATGCAGCTTCTCGGATCACAGTGGAATGAAGCTGGAAATTAGCAACTCAGGAAACCCCAGAAAGTATGCAAACACATGGAGACTGAACAACATGCTCCTGAATGAACACTGGGTCATTCAAGAAATCAAAAGAGAAATCAGAAACTTTCTGGAAGTAAATGAGGATAACAACACAACATATCAAAACTTATGGGATACAGCAAAAGCAGTATTGAGAGGCAAGTTTATAGCAACAGGTGCCTATATCAAGAAATTGGAAAGGCGCCAAATGAATGAGCTTTCAGCGCATCTCAAGGACCTAGAAAATTTGCAGCAAACCAGACCCAAACCTAGTAGGAGAAGAGAAATAATTAAAATCAGAGAAGAAATTAACAGGATTGAATCCAAAAAAAACATTACAAAAAATCATCCAAACGAAGATCTGGTTTTCGGAAAAAATAAACAAAATGGATACCCCATTGGCCCAACTAACTAAAAAAAGAAGAGAAAAGACCCAAATCAATAAAATCAGAGATGAAAAAGGAAACATAACAACAGACACCACAGAAATAAAAAGAATCATCAGAAATTACTACAAGGATTTGTATGCCAGCAAACAAGAAAATCTATCAGAAATGGATAGATTCCTGGACACATGCAATCTACCTAAATTGAACCATGAAGACATAGAAAACCTAAATAGACCCATAACTGAAAGAGAAATTGAAACAGTAATTAAGGTCCTCCCAACAAAGAAAAGCCCAGGACCGGATGGATTCACTGCTGAATTCTACCAGACATTTAAAGAAGAACTGATTCCATTTCTTCTCAAACTATTCAGAACAATCGAAAAAGAGGGAATCCTCCCAAATTCTTTCTATGAAGCCAGCATCACCTTAATCCCTAAGCCAGAGAAAGATGCAGCACTGAAAGAAAATTATAGACCAATATCCCTGATGAACATAGACGCAAAAATCCTCAATAAAATTCTGGCAAATAGAGTACAACAACACATCAGGAAAATCATCCACCCAGACCAAGTGGGATTTATCCCTGGTATGCAGGGATGGTTCAACATTTGCAAATCAATCAATGTGATTCACCACATTAACAGACTGCAGAAGAAAAACCATATGATTATCTCAATTGATGCAGAGAAAGCATTTGATAAAATTCAACACCCTTTCATGATGAAAACTCTAAGCAAATTGGGAATAGAAGGAACATTCCTCAATATAATCAAAGCAATTTGTGAAAAGCCCACAGCCAGCATCCTATTGAATGGGGAAAAGTTGGAAGCATTTCCACTGAGATCTGGCACCAGACAGGGATGCCCACTCTCACCACTTCTATTGAACATAGTTCTGGAAGTTTTAGCCAGAGCCATCAGACAAGAAAAAGAAATCAAAGGAATACAAATTGAGAAGGAAGAAGTCAAGCAATCCCTCTTTGCAGACGATATGATTCTTTACTTAGGGGATCCAAAGAACTTTACTAAGAGACTATTGGAACTCATAGAGGAGTTTGGCAAAGTGGCAGGATATAAAATCAATGCACAAAAATCAACAGCCTTTGTATACACAAGCAATGCCATGACTGAGAAAGAACTGCTAAGATCAATCCCATTCACAATAGCTACAAAAACAATCACATACCTTGGAATAAACTTAACCAAGGACGTTAAAGATCTCTACGATGAGAATTACAAAATCCTAAAGAAAGAAATAGAAGAGGATACCAAGAAATGGAAAAATCTTCCATGCTCATGGATTGGAAGAATCAACATCATCAAAATGTCCATTCTCCCAAAAGCAATTTATAGATTCAATGCAATCCCAATCAGGATACCAAAGACATTCTTCACAGATCTAGAAAAAATGATGCTGAAAATCATATGGAGGCACAAGAGACCTCGAATAGCTAAAGCAATCTTGTACAACAAAAACAAAGCCAGAGGCATCACAATACCAGATTTCAGGACATACTACAGGGCAGTTGTAATCAAAACAGCATGGTATTGGTACAGAAACAGATGGATAGACCAATGGAACAGAATTGAAACACCAGAAATCAACCCAAACAGCTACAGCCAACTTATATTTGACCAAGGTTCTAAAACCAATTCCTGGAGCAAAGACAGTCTATTCAATAAATGGTGCTGGGAAAACTGGATTTCCACATGCAGAAGCATGAAGCAAGACCCCTACCTTACACCTTACACAAAAATCCACTCAACGTGGATTAAAGACCTAAATCTACGTCCTGACACGATTAAGTTATTAGAGAACATTGGAGAAACCCTTCAAGATATTGGCACAGGCAAAGAATTTCTGGAAAAGACCCAGGAGGCACAGGCAGTCAAAGCCAAAATCAACTATTGGGATTGCATCAAGTTGAGAAGTTTCTGTACTGCAAAAGAAACAGTCAGGAGAGTGAAGAGACAACCGACAGAATGGGAAAAAATATTTGCAAACTATGCAATAGATAAAGGGTTAATAACCAGAATCTACAAAGAGATCAAGAAACCCCACAAAAACAAAACCAACAACCCACTTAAGAGATGGGCCAAAGACATCAATAGACATTTTTCGAAAGAGGAAATCCAAATGGCCAACAGACACATGAAAAAATGCTCAAGGTCATTAGCAATCAGGGAAATGCAAATCAAAACCACAATGAGGTTTCACCTCACCCCGGTTAGAATGGCTCACATTCAGAAATCTACCAACAACAGATGCTGGCGAGGATGTGGGGAAAAAGGGACACTAACCCACTGTTGGTGGGAATGCAAACTGGTCAAGCCACTATGGAAGTCAGTCTGGAGATTCCTCAGAAACCTGAAGATAACCCTACCGTTCGACGCAGCCATACCACTCCTTGGAATTTACCCAAAGGAAATTAAATTGGCAAACAAAAAAGCGGTCTGCACCCTAATGTTTATTGCAGCACAATTCACAATAGCCAAGACCTGGAACCAACCTAAATGCCCATCAACGGTAGACTGGATAAAGAAATTATGGGATATGTACTCTTTAGAATACTATACCGCAGTAAGAAACAATGAAATCCAGTCATTTGCAACAAAATGGAGGAATCTGGAACACATCATGCTGAGTGAAGTAAGCCAGTCCCAAAGGGACAAATACCATATGTTCTCCCTGATCGGTGACAACTGACTGAACACCAAAAAGGAAACCTGTTGAAGTGAAATAGACACTATGAGAAATGGTGACTTGATCAGCATAGCCCTGACTGTTAATGAACAACTTAATACATTATCCCTCTTAGTAGTTTTTTTGTCTGTTCTACTTAATATGACTGGTTTAATTCTGTAATTATCACACAGTTATTGTTAAGTGTTGAAAATTAACTGAAATGTGATCCCTGTTAAACATAATAGTGGGAATAAGAGAGGGAAGAGAGGTATAATTTGGGACATGCTCAAGCTGACTTGCCCCAAATGGTAGAGTTAGAAACATACCAGGGGACTCCAATTCAATCCCATCAAGGTGGCATGTACCAATGCCATCTCACTATTCCAAGTGATCAATTTCAGTTCACAATTGATCATAATGAAAGGACTAAGAGTCAAAGGGATCACATAAACAAGTCTAGTGCCTGCTAACAATAACCAATAGAATAAATAAAGGGGAGAGTGATCCAACATGGGAAGTGAGATACTCAGCAGACTCATAGAATGGCAGATGTCCTAAATAGCACTCTGGCCTCAGAATCAGCCCTAAAGGCATTCCGATCTGGCTGAAAAGCCCATGAGAGTATTTCAGGCATGGAAAGCCAAGACACTGACAAAAAGATCTCTGTGAGTGAGATCCCAGTGGAAACAACAGGTCTTCAAAGAAGGAGGTACCTTCCTCTGAAGGGAGGAGAGAACCTCCACTTTGATTATGACCTTGTCTAAACAAGATAAGAGTCGGAGAACTCAGAGGGCTTCCATAGCCTTGGAAACTCATGACTGGAGCATAGGGAGATTACTGATGCCATAGACAGGAGTGTCAATTTGTAAAGTCAACTACAGGAGTCACGGTGCACTTACTCCTCATGTAGGATCTCTGTCCTTAATGTGCTGTACATTGAGATTTAATGCTATAACGAGTACTCAAACAATATATTTCACTTTGTGTTTCTATGGGGTGCAGACTGTTGAAATCTTTACTTCATGCATACTAAACTGATCTTCTGTAAAAAAAAAAAATATCAATTCCCAACTTGACTCTCACTGGGATTAAACATGACAATAGGTCTGATCTGATTTCATCATCATTTAAAAAAATCATCTATTATTTTTCACTTTATGTTTCTGTGTGGGAGCAAACTGTTGAAATCCTTACTTAATGTGTGCTATGCTGATCTTCTCTATGTTAAGATAATTGAAAATGGATCTTGATGTGAATGGAAGGGGAGAGGGAGTGGGAGGGGGGAGGGTTGTGGGTGGGAGGGACGGTATGAGGGGGAAGCCATTGTAATCCATAAGTCGTACTTTGGAAATTCATATTCATTAAATAAAAGTTAAAAAAAAAAACAATGGTCCCCAGCAAAACTCTCAAAACTATCACAGCCACTGCTTAACTTTGTGGATACTCTTAGTAGTTGACAACTCCCTTAGATAAAGGACAAACTAACCCAACAATATTGCAGCAGAGCTAAGTCATGATTGTCTGTAGGGGACTCAGGAAGCTCTGGCACACTCCTGGGAATCTAGAAATGCACAGGTGCACCCTTCTCTAATGAGAGAGGCTCGAGGTGCTGGACTTCTCACATACACAAACCTCTTGCTCCTCCTGGGGTACTAGAATCTACCCATGTACTGGGAAGAAGGCACCAATGAACACCCTAGGCAATCAGACTCTGGGACCTTGTCTGGCAAATGTCACTCTTGTTGTCACAACTTGTTCTGAGTCCAGGGGGGCCTCCTCCACAGGAAGCACTGACCCTGGGAGTGCTCAGGATCAGGATCTCCCAACACAAGCAGAATCACCAAGAAAAACTGCAGCCAGCTGACACTACCTCTGAGGAAGTACAGACATGGAACTCACTAGGCCCAGAGCACTCGGCGTTCACACTATACTCAAATTAGTGAAGGAATCTATGTGTTAAGCACTACAAACATCAACAGAAGTATTTCACAGGATAGGAAATAACAGTAAGGGAACATATCTTATGAGAGGAGTGACTCAAGTTTCTGGAATTCAAAAGAACAACTGAGAACCCCCTGCAGGGGCCTGTACCAGCTTCCTCGAGTCACCATAGCTCCTTACTGCCATGTGCCTGGCTTTAAAGCAGGAAGGTTGCTCACAGTTCTGGAGGGCAGGGCCTGATGTCAGAGGCCTGCTGCTCCCTGCTCTATCTGAAGGCTCCAGCGTACGGTCCTCCACGGCCTGTTTCTAGTTTCTGGCGCTTGCCTCCACCCTTGGGTTGTTGCTTTGCAGTTGAAACTTCCCAGCCTCTGCCTGTGCCATCAGAGTCTTCTTCCTTCCACATCCACATTCGCCTGGAATGGAAGGACAACAGCAATGGATCAGGGCCCACTCTGACACAGGATGAGCTCATCATCCCTGACTCTACCTGTGAACACCTTATTTCCACAGAAAGCCTCCTACACAGGCATTGAGCCCTAAGGCTTAAACGTTGGAGGACAAACTCCTCATACAATAGGCCTTTGAACAGGCAAAAGAAACACCAAACCTGTGGATCAGACCCTGCAGATGGCCCAGTCCAGTGAATAATAATAAGCAAACAATAGTTTCACAGACCTGTGGGACACCATCAAGCATAACACATATGCATAAAGAGTCCAGAGAGACAGGGATATGAGAGAGACAGGGGCAGCAAGAATATATGAATTGTGTCCCCAAATTGCCTAAACATTTTGAACAAGAATAATCAAAATACGCATGGGTGTTTGGCCTAGTCATAAAGCAAACAGGACATCAATATCCAACAAAGAAATGGTTCAATTTGATTCCCTAGCTCTGTCTCCTCTTTCCAGCTTCCTGCTCCTATGAATATTGGGAGGCAGCAGTGAGGGTCCAAGTCGTTGGGCTCATTCCACACATGGGGAAAACTTGGATTGGGAACCCAGTTCCCAGCTGTGATCTTACAGTTGTAGAAAGTACTTCAGAGGAGTCAATCAGCAGCTGGAATATCTCTCATGCCTCTATCGCTGACACATCATAGGATGCAAAAATATACATGGAGTTCAATGAACTGCACTAGTAGAAATTCACATCCTAGTAAGTTGGAAGGCAAAGACAAAGACATGCAAGGGCCTCCAGAATGAATTGTCATGCACAAAGTATCTCTGAGAAGATGAACACTGGTATGGCTGTAATCCTTTTTTAAGAAGTACTGCTAATAATGTTGTGGGATTTAAACTTCACACTTTATTCTAAAAATCCCATACAAGTTTTTTTTAATTTGTTTTATTTATTTGACAGGTAGAGTTACAGAATTTAAGAGAGAGACAGAGAGAAAGGTCTTCCTTTCATTGGTGATCTCTCTAAATGGCCAATGCAGCCGGAACTGTGCCTATCCAAAGCCAGGAGTCAGGTGCTTCTTCCTGGTCTCCCACACAGGTGCAGAGGCCCAAGCACTTGAGCCATCCTCCACTGCCTTCCTGGGCCACAGCAGAGAGCTGGACTGGAAGAGCAGCAGCCAGGAATAGAACCGGCGCCCATATTGTATGCCAGCACCACAGGTTGGAAGATTAACCAAGTGAGCCACGGTGCCGGCCCCTCCCTTAAAAGTTTGACACTTCCTCAGAAAAGTTCAGAGTCTCAGTATACATAGTAGCCAAATGTGTAAGTTACCCATTTACCCAGTATGTGATAAATGAAAAGTATTAATATGTTGCATTCACACCGTAGATATTACTCAGCCATAAAAGGATCAGGTGTGGATATATGCTACAATATGGATGAACCTTGGATATATTTTGCTTATTGAAAGAAAACAGACATAAAAGTGACACTCTATCTCCATGAAATGGCCAGAAGTGAAAATAAATCCACAGAGACAGGAGGTAGATAAGGGTTACCAAGGCAAGGCAGGGGGAGAGAATGAGGTTCTCTGGCAAGGAGTATGGTGTTTCCCTTTGAGATGATGAGAAAAGTACTGAAATGACAAGACAGGAAACCCTGAATATACCAAAACCCAGTGAACAGTATGCTTTGTTTATTTTTAAAGATTTATATACTTGAAAGGCAGAGTGACAGAGAGAGGGGGAGAATGATAGGGAGATCTATCCACTGGTTCAGTCCCCTCAGATGACTGTAAGAGCCAGGACTGGGCCAGCCTGAAACCACAAGCCAGGAGCTTCCTCCAGATCTTTCATGTGGCTGGCAGGAGACCAAGCACATGGGCCATCTCCCACTGTTTCCCCAGAAGCATTGGCATGGAGCTGGATCAGAAGTGGAGCAGCAGGACTAGAATCAGCACCCATATGGGATGCCTACATTGCAGGTGGTGGCTGAACCTCTTATGCCACTATGCCAGCCTCTATACTATACACTCTAAATGTGTCAATTTATCACGTGAGAATTCTATTTTGGTAAAAAGAACATGAATTAAGATGTCTGTACAGTATGTCTCTGAAGATGGTAGGCTGAATACAGACCACAGTCATCACTCCTGAGTCACCTTAACAATTCAGTTCTCACAGTGACTTCAGTGGTAAAAGGTCATAGGAGGTGATACTGGAAGCTTAATCCTGGTCTCCTGTCAGAGCCCACTCTGGTGCTGCTCGGTGACTATGGGGCCAGTGATGAGTTTTCCGCCTCAAAGATCAATCCCCATGTGGATCTTTTAACTCAGTGACCTCCAAAGACATGTGCCCCAATTGGCATATTCAATAACCTTGGAAAATATTCAGAAACAGTTGTATCTATACAGAACATGTAGAGGTCTTTCTTGTCATTATTCCTTAAACTACATATTCCTTTTCAGTGCCTTTACATTGTATTAGGCAGTACAATTTGTAATGATTTATTGGCACAGGGATGGCTTAAGTCACATGCAAGATGTGCATAGTTATTTCCAATCCCATGGGCACTTTATAGAAGGGACTTGAATACCTGTGTGTTTTGGTTACTGCTGGTGCTATGGGTGTGGTCCTGGAACAAATGAACAAAAGGCTGTTGAGGGGCAAATGAGTTGTCTTTTTGTTGCTGTTCTTCGTATTCCTGTAGGAAGAGGAAAGGAAATGCATTCACTCAAGAATGGTGTTGCCATCTTCTTGGCAAAATAAGAAATGATTTCTTCCCAGGCCCAATCATGGATCTCTTTACTGTGGGCTGCCTGGAGGAGCCACCTGGGTCAGAGCAGGAATGAGTAAGTTCTCGCAGTTGGGTGTGCCATGAAATAAGAGAACGGTTGCTGTATTTCCATGAGATGATGGAGAAAGTCAGCATCAGGCACTGAACCAGAGAATGGGGACAGCTGCCTGATGCCTGATGACAATGTTGCGTGTACCTGAGGATGTTCCTCAGCTGCTCTGTTGTTCAGTTCCCTGCCTGTGGTGTGGAAATGTTAATGGAACCTGTGTTAGGATGACTGTGAGGTTAAAACTAAGTAAACCCGAATCCTGAAGAAAATAGCTGCTATTTCCTAAGCACCACTGATGTAAGCATTACTTCCCAAGTCTGTGGAAGAGTAAGACCTACTGCCAATATAAACACTCTAATTCCCAAATGGTTCAACCCTGTATTTTTGACTCCCCAAATTCTGTCCTTGACTCCTTCAGCCCTCCCACCACTACTAGACAAAGTCTCTTTTGTGCACCATTCTGCACAAGTGAGGAAATACAAAACACAGGGCCCTTCCATTCTTGACGAAAGCCCCCTTGGTCAAGCCTGAAAATCAGATCACTAGAGGTCTCTCCTTGCCACCTGATTTATTTCCTCACATGTGACATGGTCATAATAATAATATCAACCTCAGAGAGATTCTACAATACTTAACTCCATTTGTGGTGGTTGTGACAAAAAATATTGTTGGCTTTTTTATCCATCCTTTAAATGTGAAACAATTCATGTGCAAAAGTAACATAGTTGAAGCTCCTGTTATATCTCCAACCAGCTGACATGTTTCCTGTTCCCAACTAATGTTTCTTCAGTCAGTGCTTCTCCATGCCTGTCCCTGCCCTAGCTGCTCTGTGGGATGACTTATGTATAACTGAACACTCTCCTCGACCACCTCAAGGCTAACACATTGGAGAAACAAAGTGATGTGTCCATCGGGGTTGTGAGCTTGCAAGGATCAACCCAATAGTTGATTCAAATGGAGAATGAATGATGCTGGGGAAGGCCCATGCTGCAGAGTCAATTCTGTGTTGACTTGAAGTTGTCAGGATTTACTATTTCAATTCTCCATGAAACCCAGTCATCCATCACTAATCCCAGGGATTACAACCAAACTGTCAGTGTGAGGGAATGTGGAAATGACTGAAATGTGAATGCTCTTGAGCCTCCCTGGGGTTCTCTCCATGGCTGGCACACTCAGCAGTACACAGGGAACACAGCACATCAGCCAAAGATTCACAGACCCACCTAGCCTAAGAGAACTGACCTGGCTATTGGAGATGCTGAGTGGATCTCCATCAGCTTGCCCAAAGCCAACATAAACTGATAGTGACCAGGGATGTGTGTGGATTCCCAGCCCCAAGAAAGTGTCACTTGGTGCCAGGGGCACTTCATTCCCTTTGTGACATCAGGCCCTGGAGAGCTACAGCTACAACCACATCCATACCTGAGCTTCTTTAGTTTTGGGGTGTAGAGATTAAAAACACAGTGAGACTTTTGAGGTCAAATTAGGAATATTTAGTGTCCAGCTGGTGACTGCCCTCTCAGAGCAAGTCTCGAGAAGCCAGCAGAGAGTTGCAGGTGCAGAGAGTTTGTAAAGGCAAAACCTACTTTTTATCAGTCATTTAATTACATGTGCAGAATTGTGCAAGCAAGACTCAGACATACAGAAGGGAGAAGCACTTAGCCAATCAGCCAGTTTCTTTGTAACCTTATTGAAAAATGTAATGATTTAATTATTTGATTGTTCCAAGTCAGGGTCAAACATGGTGCCATTGACCTTGGTGCCACCTGTGTGATCTTGTGGTTGCATCCAGGACAAGACAGGAGAAACCATAGTCTGGTGGCCTTGGCCATTATCAAGCAAGCAGAGGTACAGAAGCCAGAAATGGGAGGAGGGCAAGATGGCAGAATAGGAAGGGAGCACATCGATAGTCTGGGAAAAGACAGTTTAATAAAAGTGGAGATACTGCAGGTTCAAGGAAGAGTTAGGGAAGAAACAGCAGAGGAAACTCTTCTGGAACTACTGGTTCATGGGGACCTATGTGGAGGGCACCGGTGCCCATGGCTCAGAACCCTAGCCATAGAATCTATGCACCTGTACTGAAAAGGAAGCTGTGTAGAATTACTTCCCTTCTGAATCAGAGAGAGAGAGAGAGAGAGAGAGATGTATTATGCCTAACCTGGGTGTGTCACATTTGACACACCCTTAACCCTGAAGAACCAAACAGAGCTCTCTGGCCACACCCATCAGAAGCCTCTAAGGATCCATCAAATAGCAGACAGTCCATTTAATAGAGTCATAGTAGAATGAGAAAAAAATTCCACAGCGAGGAAAGAAGAAACCAATGAATATCTCCACAAAGCCAAGCAACAAATGCAGAAACCAAGGAAACAACAACAAGGAAGACATTATGACACCCCCAAATGAACAAGACACCCCAATACAAGATTATGAAGATGATGAGATAGAAGAAATGCAAGATATGGATTTCAAAAAAATTATGATAAGAACATGTAGAAGTTTTCAAAAACAAAGTCTTGAACTGCAGAAATCCTTACCGGACAGGATAGAAAATCTCTCTTGTGAAAAGGAAATCTTAAGCAGGAATCGAAATGAAATGCAAGAACTAGTAGAACAGGAAATTGTGATAGTGAAGAGAAATTGAAATGAAATGAAGAATTCAATAGATCAAATGAAAAACACATTAGAGAGCCTTAAAAACAGAGTCAGTGATGCAGAAGAGGGAATATCGGACTTAGAAGACAGAGCACAGGAAAACATACAGCCAAACCAAAGAAAAGAAGAGGAAATTAGAAATCTAAAAAATATTGTTGGGAATCTACAGGGTACTATTAAATAAAACCCAACATTTGAGTTCTAGGAGTTCCTGAAGGCATGGAAAGAGAGAAAGCATTAGAAGGCCTTTTTATTGAGATACTAGCAGAGAACTTCCTGGGTTTGGAGAAGGACAGAGACATCTTAGTACAGGAAGCTCATAGAACCCCTAGAAAACATGACCAAAAGAGATCCTCACCACGACACGTAATTAAACTCACCACAGTGAAACATAAAGAAAAGATTTTAAAATGTGCAATAGGGTAGTATCAGATTACTCTCAGAGGATCTCCAATCAGACTCACAGCAGACTTCTCATCAGAAACACTACAGGCTAGGAGGGAATGGCGAGACATAGCCCTAGTACTAAGAGAGAACAACTGCCAGCCCAGAATATTATATCCTGCAAAGCTCTCATTTGTGAATGAAGGTGAAATAAAGACTTTTCATAGCAAACAGAAATTGAAAGAATTGGTCGCCACTGTTCCAGCCCTACAAAAGTTACTTAAAGATGTATTACACACAGAAACTCAGAATCGCAGTCATCAATATGAAAGAAGGAAGAAAACCAGAGTAAAAGATCACACGAAGTTCAAAGCATATATTAGAAAATATCTTTGGGAAAATGGCAGGGCAAAGTTACTACTTATCAATAGTCACATTGAACGTTAATTGCCTCAACTCTCCAGTTAGAAGACACAGATTGGCTGAATGGGTTAAGGAACAAAACCCATCTATTTGCTGCTTACAAGAAGCACATCTTTCCAACAAACATGCAGGCAGACTGAAAGTGAAAGGCTGGAAAAAGATATTCCATGCCAATAGAAATGAAAAAAGAGTGGGCATAGCCATCATAATATCAGACAACATAAACTGTAACAGAAAAACTGTTAAGAGAGACAAAGAGGGGCACTATATAATGCTTAAGGGATCAATTCAACAGGAAGATGTAACTATTATAAATGTATATGCACCTAACTACAGGGCACTGGTTTATTTAAAAGATATGTTAAGGGACTTCAAGGGAGACTTAGACTCCAATACAATAGTACTGGGGGACTTCAATACTCCACTCTCAGAAACAGACAGATCAACCAGACAGAAGATCAACAAGGAAACAGTAGATTTAAACAACACTATAGCCCAAATGGATCTAACAGATATCTACAGAACTTTTCATCCTACACTTAAAGAATTGACATTCTTCTCAGCAGTACCTGGAACCTACTCTAGAACTGACCACATACTAGGCCATAAAGCAAGTATCAGTAAATACAAAAGAATTACAATCATATGATGCAGTTCTCAGACCACAGTGGAATGAAGTTGGAAATTAGCAATTCAAGAATCCCTAGAGCATATGCAACCACATGGAGATTGAAAAACATGCTCCTGAATGAACACTGGGTCATAGAAGAAATCAAAAAAGAAATCAAATAATTTCTGGCAGTAAATGAGGATAACAACACAACATATCAAAACGTATGGGATACAGCAAAAGCAGTGTTAAGAGGAAAGTTTATAGCAATAGGTGCCTACATCTAGAAAATGGAAAGGCACCAAATAAATGAGCTTTCAATGCATCTCAAGGATCTAGAAACGCTGCATTCATGTGCAGAAGCATGAAGCAAGACCCGTACCTTTCACCTTACACAAAAATACACACAAAATGGATTAAAGACAGACCTAAATCTATGACCCAACACCATCAAATTATTAGAGAACATTGGAGAAAACCTCCGAGATATAGAAACAGGCAAAGACCGAAGATGCTTGGAAAAGACCCTGGAAGCACAGTCAGTCAAAGCCAAAATAAACATGTGGGATTGCATAAATTGAGAAGTTTCTGTACTGCAAAAGAAACAGTCAGGAGAGTGAAGAGGCAACCGACAGAATGGGAAAAATATTTGCAAACTATGCAACAGATAAAGGCTTAATAACGAGAATCTACAAAGAGATCAAGAAACTCCACAAAAACAAAACCAACAACCCACTTAAGAGATGGGCCAAGGACCTCAATAGACATTTTGCAAAGGAGGAAATACCAATGGCCACATGGCCAACAGGCACATGAAAAAATGTTCAAGGTCATTAGCAATCAGGGAAATGCAAATCAAAACCACAATGAGGTTTCACCTCACCCCGGTTAGAATGGCTCACATACAGAAATCTACCAACAACAGATGCTGGCGAGGATGTGGGGAAAAAGGGACACTAACCCACTGTTGGTGGGAATGCAAACTGGTCAAGCCACTATGGAAGTCAGTCTGGAGATTCCTCAGAAACCTGAATATAACCCTACCGTTCGACCCAGCCATCCCACTCCTTGGAATTTACCCAAAGGAATTTAAATTGGCAAACAAAAAAGTGGTCTGCACCCTAATGTTTATTGCAGCTCAATTCACAATAGCCAAGACCTGGAACCAACCTAAATGCCCATCAATGGTAGACTGGATAAAGAAATGATGGGATATGTACTCTTTAGAATACTATACCGCAATAAGAAACAATGAAATCCAGTCATTTGCAACAAAATGGAGGAATCTGGAACACATCATGCTGAGTGAAATAAGCCAGTCCCAAAGGGACACATACCATATGTTCTCCCTGATTGGTGACAACTGACTGAACACCAAAAAGGAAACCTGTTGAAGTGAAATGGACACTATGAGAAATGGTCACTTGATCCGCATAGCCCTGACTGTTAATGAACAACTTAATACATTATCCCTCTTAGTAGTTTTTTGTCTGCTCTACTTAATATGACTGGTTTAATTCTGTAATTAATACACAGTTATTCTTAAGTGTTGAAATTAACTGAAATGTGATCCCTGTTAAACATAAGAGTGGGAATAAGAGAGGGAAGAGATGTACAATTTGGGACATGCTCAAGCTGACTTGCCCCAAATGGTAGAGTTAGAAACATACCAGGGGACTCCAATTCAATCCCATCAAGGTGGCATGTACCAATGCCATCTCACCAGTCCAAGTGATCAATTTCAGTTCACAATTGATCATAATGAAAGGACTAAGAGTCAAAGGGATCACATAAACAAGTCTAGTGCCTGCTAACAATAACCAATAGGATAAATAAAGGGGAGAGTGATCCAACATGGGAAGCAAGATACACAGCAGACTCATAGAATTGCAGATGTCCTAAACAGCACTCTGGCCTCAGAATCAGCCCTAAAGGCATTCTGATCTGGCTGAAAAGCCCATGAGAGTATTTCAGGCATGGAAAGACAAGATACTCTGGCAAAAAAAAAAAAAACACCCTAAATGAAAGATCTCTGTGAGTGAGATCCCAGTGGAAAGAACAGGTCTTCAAAGAAGGAGGTACCTTTCTCTGAAGGGAGGAGAGAACCTCCACTTTGACTATGACCTTGTCCAAACAGGATAAGAGTCAGAGAATTCAAAAGGCTTCCATAGCCTTGGAAACTCATGACTGGAGCATAGGGGGATTACTGATGCCATAGACAGGAGTGTCAATTTGTAAAGTCAACAACAGGAGTCACTGTGCACTTACTCCTCATGTAGGATCTCGGTCCTTAATGTGCTGTACATTGAGACTTAATGCTATAATGAGTACTCAAATAGTATATTTCGCTTTGTGTTCCTATGGGGGTGCAAACTGTTGAAATCTTTACTTAATGTATACTAAACTGATCTTCTGTAAAAAAAAAAAAGAAGAAATTATCAACTCCCAACTTGACTCTCACTGGGATTAAACATGACAATAGGTCTGATCTGATTTCTTCATCATTTAAAAAATCATCTATTATTTTTCACTTTATGTTTGTGTGGGAGCAAACTGTTGAAATCTTTACTTAATGTATGCTAAACTGATCTTCTGTATATAAAGAGAATCGAAAATGAATCCTCATGTGAATGGAAGGGGAGAGGGAGTGGGAAAGGGGAGGGATGCGGGTGGGAGAGATGATATGGGGGGGAAGCCATTGTAATCCATAAGCCGTACTTTGGAAATTTATATTCATTTAATAATTTTTTTAAAAAAAGTGCCAGGGAATTCCAATTCCATCCCGTCAAGGTGGAATGTACCAATGCCATCTCACTAGTCCAAGTGATCAATTTCAGTTCACAATTGATCACACTGATAGGTCTAAGAGTCAAAGGGATCACATAAACAAGACTAGTGTCTCCTAATACTAACTGATAGAATAAAAAAGGGAAGAGAACGATCCAACATGGGAAGTGGGATACACAGCAGACTCATAGAATGGCAGATGTCCTAAACAGCACTCTGGCCTCAGGATTAGCCCTTAAGGCATTCGGATCTGGCTGAAGAGCCCATGAGAGTATTTTAGGTATGGAAAGCCAAGACACTCTGGCAAAATTAAGGACCTAAATGAAAGATCTCTGTGAGTGAGATCCCAGTAGAAAGAACGGGCCATCAAAGAAGGAGGTACCTTTCTATGAAGGGAAGAGTGAACTTCCACTTTGACTATGACCTTGTCTAAATAAGATAGAAGTCGGCCAACTCAAAAGGCTTCCAAAGCCTTGGCAACTCATGACAAGAGCCTAGGGAGATTACTGATGCCATAAACAAGAGTGTCAATTTGTTAAGGCAACAACAAGAGTCACTGTGCACTTACTCCTCATGTAGGATCTCTGTCCTTCATGTGTGGTTCAATGTGAATTCATGCTATAACTAGTACTCAAACAGTAGTTTACATTTTGTGTTTCTGTGTGGATGCCAACTGTTGAAATTGTTACTTAATATATACTAAATTGATCTTCTGTATATAAAGATAGTTGAAAATGAATCTTGATGTAAATGGAATGGAAGAGGGAGTAGGAGTTGGGAGGGTTGTGGGCAGGAGAAGTTAAGGGGGGTGGGGAGAAGCCATTGTAATCCATAAGCTGTACTTTGGAAATTTATATTTGCTAAATAAAAGTTACAAAAAAGAAGCCAGAAATGGGCCAGTTACAAATTAACATTTACTCTTATGATGAACAGGCCCTGATTATAGAACACCCAAGCCAAATAACTTATACTCTATAACCACCTGGGTGTGCTACAGCTTGAAGACAGTTTACACTTTTGGGTCACCTGTCACACTCTTGCCCCAACCACTTCCAATCCCCACAGCTTCTTCTTGAGAGCACTCCTCACATTGCAAGAATCTGTTGTGGAAGATTTCCCTCTGGGACCCTCAGGAAGCCCTGTGTTGTTCCAGATACTTCTGGGGGATATGGGCTGAGCTGTTCCCCAGTCAGGAGGTGAGGCAACAGGAAGTGGCAGCAGGAGGTTCCCCGATGCTTCTCATAGAAAAAAAGTATTATGGAGAGATACAGAGAGACAGGTAGACAGAACTCCCATCCACTGGTTTCTTCCTAAATGCCCACAGTGACTCTGCCGGGTGAAGCCAGGACCTGGGAACTTAATCCAGCTCTCCTGTGTGGGTGGCAGGCAATTAATCAGCCATCACCACTGCCTCCCTGGGACTGCATCAGCAGGACGCTGGAGTCAGCAGCTGCAGCCTGGAAGGGAACTCAGGTATTCCAATGTGGGACTCTCGGCTACAGGCCTGCTCCCAACAGTGCACTCTGCTGAGTGCCTTCTGTTTCCAGGCACCCTGTAGAGTGCCTGCACTCCTCTTATGCATGGCACCATGAAGGAGTGAATTCTTTCCATGAGAACTTCAGGTCGGAAAAGCATTAGTACACTTTTTTTCTGTGTATAGTCACATAAAAATAGCAATAACCATAGAAACTTTCTCTTGGGTGCACTTACAAGTTCACTGATTGAAAATGGCAAATTTTATTAGACATGTATTCATTCCTTAATTATTAGATAATACTAGTTTTTATATTCTGGAAATCACCTGATCATACAGCTTGATATTTGATTGCACCACTCCTGCAATTAAATGCTATCATCACTCTCTGATCACCAGGAATGGCATGACTTCTTCATTTGTGGGAAGAAAATTTGACAAGACATCCACCATCGAGACAACATGGTCAAAAAAGATATAAACTCTGGAGCAAATATTTAGGACATTCACTTCCTGTGTATCTGAAACTCTATTTCTGGTGAACACCAAATCTCCATGTCCATCCCCAGCTCAGAGCAAGATCCCTCTTCTGTTTCTATGAGATTGGCAGCTGGAATACCACCTGTGCATCTAAGTAGAATCACAGAGGACTGGTCCTCCTTTGACTGCCTTATTTCACTGAGAACAACCCAGCATCCCGATTCTGGACGAATCGCAAGAAGAATTGAAACTGGGATGGAAACATCTATATGCTGCCATGTTTTCTGCAGCACTATCCCTACCAACTGAGACATGGAAACAAGTTCAGCATCCACTGACGGATGAAGGAATAAACAAATGGTGGTGCATGGACACAGTGGATCATCCTCCTCCTTTCAGAGGAGGAAATCTTGTCCTGCAGGAAATGTAAATATGTGTGAAAGTAGCTGGAACACTTGGATGGGACAAGATGGAGAGCTCCATATAACCTATCACTCACACAGATGAAAGTGAAATCTGAGCAGAGGACACATTCTTCAACACTCTTAGAAGGCCACACTGAGAGGCAGATTGGATTAAGTGCAAATCTCAACAACAGCCTGATGGGAGTCTGGCTAGATTGCTCTCCTCACTTTCTCCCAGGTTCCTCAAATGCAGGCGGAGTTGAAGTAACTCCGAAAAGGAAAACCATGGGTGATTCCCTGTATCTCTCCAAAAAATGAGAAATGGTGTTAAGAAGAGGGTTATACCCATTTGTGTAGTTCCTCACTTTTCACTGACAAAGCTATGCTAATGTCTCTGCTAAGGGATAACCTTGAAAATTACTATATTTCTGCACAAAAGAACCAGAAAGATGGTGTTCTCCAAGGAATGAGAGGAAAATCTCTAGTATCCCTTTCACATACTATTTCCCCTCATGGGTATTCTTGTCTGTGGAACTGCACAACAGCATGGGGAATAAACACCACTGAGAAGAACATGTACGAAGGTCAGGAGAACTGTGCAAATCAGAGAGCTAAGGGGACAAACAGAGTCTACACAGCTTAGCTCTGAAACTGCCTTCATACAGGAATGATCAGAGACTCCATCTCCTCTAACCATCACTAAACCCAGAAAGACAAGAGCTCTTCAAATTATAGCTAAGAAGTTCTCAGCAGAGGAAGAAATACATGAAAAACACAAGCTGGAAACGTTGGGCCTGAACGTACATCATTCATATCAAAAGGTAATGGATGTCTGGGCTGGCCTTAGCTCAGTGGTTCCTTTATCTACTGAAAATGTAACAGATGGAATCAAGTCCAGAGTGCAGGAAAAAGTGAAAATATCAAGTTATATGCCAATCAACAGAAAGGTACAAGTTGAAGAACAATGAGAAAGGGAAGAAGCTTGAACCTAAATGAATAGAGCCTCAGAGACGTGTGAACCATAGCAAGAGCCCTAACTCATAGGAGCCTGGAGGGGGTAGGAGGGTGGTGAAGTACAAAATATTAAAAGGAACAGAATGGCCAGGAACATCACCCTTTTAGGAATACAGATCCAAGGACTCAGAAGCATCTCAGGGACATGTGAACAATCCACAAGAAGAGAAAAAGAGAACTCTTGAAATCAGAGCCAATGGCATGTGCATACCCACATGAGCAGGGATGACTTCTCATCAGAAAACACAAACACCACAGGATACTAGAACCCTGTTCACCGCGTTTGGAAAGATAAGACCGCCCCAGGATTCTCCAGGGAAAAACATACCATGTAAGTTCCAAGCCTTCTATGCAGAAAAACTAGGATGGTGGAGATGAAGGAATACTAAGAGCAGTCATCAGAAGACCACTTGCTATCAAAACAGCACCAAGTGGATGGAATTCTTCTGGCTGAAGTGAAATCTTGTCCAGGGAATTCTGGGACATCAGGACTAATGAAGAGCAGGAGACACATTACGTATATCACTGCTGGCTGTGTTTTCCCCGATAAATTCTCTAAACAGTGTCTGTAGAACCCAAAACAGAAAGCAC